CGCAGAATAACCTGCGCAGACAATCTGCCACACGCGCGTAAGTCATCATTAATTGGTGCAGGTCGTCACATACATGTCGCTCTGGACGGGAGCAAAGAATGCCTTCAGCCCTTCATCCGTTGTGGAATACGCAAGATTACCGGCAAAAACCTACGGGAGAGTGTCAGGGATTGCCACGTCAGAGTTGATTGTTTACTTACTTTGAAGCCGGGGGTCTCTTCAACGACCTTGTCCTGCGTAGCCGGAAGCGCGCCGTTCTCGGTGACAGGGGCGGCGGGGGCGTCGGACATTGTGAGCGAGATGAACTGGTGAGTTTTTTGGTGGAATGAACTTGATGAACCGGTTTCTTCGTGTCAAACTTGGGGGTTGAGAGAAAAGCCTGCGCTGCGCCCGCTGGCCTGTTTTGATCTGCAACAAAACTCCGCTCGCTTTCTGCCTTTGGTAAGTTTGCATTCGCCGTATTACGTCGTCATGGCTGTTGCCATCTTCCCACCTGACCAAGGCTGTGTGTCCATCTCGTTTTGCATCCTATCTGCAACGCGTCGTGCCAACGTCGTGCAGCCCCATGTCGATACGGCTGTGTGTGCTCTGGTAGTACTTATCGACCGCTGTCCTGCACACGATGATGCGGATCACCACAATAATCATATGCAGCACGTTACATTGGCTAGCCTCCGGGTTGCTTGGAATAATAAGTACGAGCAATCGAGAACAGTCTCAGCGATTGCTTCTCGGCGACCGAGACCGTCGCACGACTCGTAACTGCGCACACACGCGCTATGCCGTAGACTCGCCGGATGAGCGAGTCGGCTGTCGGCAGCTACGGCGGGACGCCAGCTAGGCAGCTTACGTAAGCACATAGATACAGGGCAACATTCGGTTGCGTTTTCCTTCTCTACCAACTCCTTCTCTCGTCCGTCGTGTCTCTCAGCCCTCAGGGCACTGTCATTCGTTTTTTTCCGACGCTCTTTCGATTTACGGACCACTCGGAAGGTAACTTGATCCCTTATCAACCACAGCATGAGCAAATTAATCAACTTGCTGGCTATTGCCTCTGTGGCAATCCTCGTCTGCTCCTTCGGACCCGACTCTGCCAATGCCGTGGCCGTTAGCGGCCATCACTTGTCTCGTCATGTAGCCCATGACGGTCTTGCCAGGAGAGTGTCGGAGAGAAAGAAGAAACGCGACTTGACCAGGCGTTGCCAGCAGCGCCCGTCTAGCAGTCCCGCTAGCAGTAGCACCACTAGCTCTACCGCTACTACTGCTTCTTCATCTCCGGCAACCACTACTTCTTCCACTCCTACTACTTCGTCGACCCCCACCACGTCGTCCACTCCTACTACGTCCTCTACTCCTACTACCTCGTATACCCCTACTACGTCTGCCCCGCCTCCGCCTCCAACAACATCTTCGGCTCCTCCGCCGGCCAGTACACCCCCTAGCACTGGGGGTTCAAAAGTTGGGATTGCCTGGAACAGCGCTAACACTGCTGCTCTTGCTAACTTTAAGACTAGCAGTACTCAATTGTAAGTGGATTTGATACTTCGCTGAGTTAGTGCCTGAAGTATACGCGTGTAGCATCTACTCATGGAGCGCATGGAAACCGGATGGCGCTGACCAGCTCGGCTTTGATTTCTGGCCTATGCTGCCCAATGCAGCCTCAAGTTCTATTTCCGCGTTCCAGAGTAACGTCGTAGCCGGCTTTGGAAGTACCATCTTGGGATTCAATGAGTACGTGGTAGATAAATTAGGGTTCCTACATGCCAGCTGATTGTGTTGAATATGTAGACCGGACCAGAGCAGCCAGGCAAACCTCTCCCCTTCTGACGCTGCCAGTCTGTGGATGCAGTACATTGAACCTAAGAAGGCTCTTGGTTACGCTTTGATTTCACCTGCTGTATCGTCTGGTTCCGGTGGTATTCCTTGGCTGCAACAGTTCTTGACGGCTTGCAGTGGTTGCACCGTGAGTCGTTGCGCTGCTCCAGAAATCAATACATTAACACGTGCCTGCAGATTGATGGTTTAGCTCTTCATTACTACGGAACTTCCGCTAGCGACATGATCTCATACATTGAAGGCTTCCATAGTACCTTCCCCAGCTATAATCTGCATGTCACTGAGTTTGCAGATGATGTATGTTCCTCACGCTGCCTAGTGGAATGGTATTTGCTCAAGTTGATCAAATTATAGAACTTCAGTGGCGGGGCGCAGGCAACTATGGATGAGATTTGGGCATTCTGTAGCCAGATTAACTCGTGGATGGATAGCACCTCGTACATTGCCTCGTACTTCCAATTTGGTGAGTTTTCCCCCCAAGTTGATGTGTCTTATTTGCTAAGGTGCTGGTGATGTAGGTGTCTTGGACAGCATGGGTAATGTCAACCCGCTAGATGCATTGATGGACACCTCGACTGGGTTGCCAACCGATCTTGGCTACACCTACATTTATAACGGGTGGAGCTCGTAAGGTGGAACATGTTAGTAACTACTAAGTAGTTCTCATGCCTGAGGCTAGTCTTCGTATACCCTTCTTTCTTGGGTTAGGGTCGTTTTCATGCTAGTGCATTTGCTTCTGCAGGTGATACAGAGGTCTCGTTTTCTCATTTGCTTTGAAGCATGATTGTCCCCTAGTGGTACTTGTTGTTCCGGAACGGGTGTGCGACCCACATTTGTGATCACCATGACCGTTCTGTGTGAGAATAAAATGAATCGGGTGTCCGACGCGGGCCGCCGAATGGTAACGAGGACGCTATCGTTTGCATAAAGCTCGCTTAGATCGGCCTTGAAATACCTGCGATTTCAATCCGCTAGGCGCCCCGATCATTTACTAGCACCATGGTCGCCCATCTCCCGCCTGTGGTCAAACAGCTAGTGTCCCTCCGCAATCCCCACTCTTTCCCTGGCCCCCCGGTCTCGAAACTCAACAGCATCCTCTCCAGCACGTTCAAGGATGCGCAAACCAAGAAAGTCGAGAAGGGCTGGCTCACTCTTGCAGTTCGTCTTTTCTTTTCCCTCACGTTCTTGCGGGGAGTCCCAGGCCAACCCTGTACCGTGTACCTGCGCATCTTTATAGACATGTACCCTCTTAACCGCCAACGTTCCCTCTTCCGTTGGACATCTCTATCACTTTGCCACTAGGGATGATCCGTTCAAAGTCGAGTCAAGACGCAGCCTTTCGGAGGCGCTACAAAAAGCAGCTATCATGCGTGAATCTGCGTTGAAAAGCTGCATATTTGTTGGTGTCCCCCGGGTAAGCTCCGTCGTGCTCGTGCGCGATACCCTGCACATTCACTTATTGCACATCCTTCATTCGGCCTCACCTTCCTTCCCCCAGACCATCCTGTCGTTCGCGGGCATGTTTGAAGCCTTCGAAGACGATGTTCAGAATGGTCTGCGAAAGGAGCCAACACATAAACGGTGCGCCGACACCCAGTTTGCAACTTTCGGACTGCCTAACCGGCGATTTAAATCAGGATGGCTATGCCCGAGAATGTTGAGGCTATCAAGGCCCGGGGACAAGCTTTGTGGGACAGCATCTACCAGCCCCATGCAGTGAAGCTCTATAATAAGCTAGGCGGATATCACCCCGATTTCATAGGTACGTACCCGTACAATACACCGGTCATTTCCTCTTTGGTAAAACTGCCTCCACCTTTCCGGGCTATCTACGTTCCGTCCCTCGATTCGTTCGGACACTGATCTATTCTAATGTCCCCGATCAGTCTTCATCATACAAGCATATGGTGCCGTGCTCTCCCCGATGCCCGGTGGAGACAGTGAACAAGGGAATCTCAGTCGTGCCCTGGGATCGGTGGTTGGGACTGCATGTCTTCGTGCAGAAGGCAGAGTCGGGCCGCAACTCGTCAGTCACGTCTTCGGTCTTCTCAAGGCACGCAACGTGGAAGGGCTGAGCGAAGAAGACTACTGGCTCGCTACTGATGAAGGCACGGAATGGGTCATTCGCACCGTGGATTCTATCTTAGATGTCGTGAAGGTGGAGGAAGGGGCTGAATCGCAAGCGAAATTATAGACTTCTCGATTGTATGCATCGATGAACAATGCATCGTTTTTCCTCCTAGACCATGCGCGTTTCGCCGTTACGTACGTCCCAATGTCAACGATCGTGGCCGCCGTTACTACGCGAAATACTCCCGAGTGTCTTGAGGCAGCCTGGTTCCCAAGTACTTCGGTACGGACCCTCCATATCATTGCACCATTAGGAGCTAGTATACACATGACCATGCGCGCGTTAAATACATACATACTGACGATACACAGACATGCACGAAAAGTTTACATTTTGAATGCTTGCGGGATGGGGGAAATGCAAAGGACATGGGTATGAGAATCACAGACCGTATGCCATGACGAAACGATACAACATGGCTGTGACAGTGACAGTGTCCATGAGGGGAGGGTGCATCTGATAGACCTGATGAGCAAGATATCAGATAAACTCGCGCAGTTTTCTCTTACCACCACACCAGCCCCAGCGTTTCGGACAAAATGCAGTTCGCCGTAGACATCGCCAATATTATATCGTGTTGGTTTTATGGAGCGGTAAAACGCAATCACATTACCGTTCTGGTCCTGCAGCTGGTACGGAACATGGGTTAGCAGACAATAGTGATTGAATACAGAGAGCATATGACTGACGACGACATCTGTAGAGTTGCTTCCTGGCCGCCATCGGTACTGATAACCATCGGGGCCGTTGAACATCCTGCAATTCTGAGGTTCGGAACGGTCAGGAACGATCGGTAAAAGGATCAACGCGCGTACCGGAGCGCGTGGGTCGGGTCGGACCAAGTCTGCCATTGGGAACGTGCTCTTGGGATTGTGGAACCATCAGCACACGCGCAATGTGAACGCGAACGGGGATAATCTACCTTTCCAATTACTGCGCGTCCTAGGCCGCCATTCGATGCCCACTCGAGCTTTGCGACGCGGTCTTCCTTGTTCGCGCGAATTGTTCTCCACAGAGTTGTGACACTGACACCCTGACTGTTGTCTTCCGTCTGCGAGACAAGATGAATTAGAAGTCAAGTGACCACAATGACTATGTATTCTATCCGTCACCTTGAAGCGATACAGTACGCCGTAGCTACCAAAAAGTTCGCTACGACGAGGATCTTGGGAAGTCCAAGAGAGAACCTCGTTTCCCGACGTCGACATGGTGGTAGGTATCGCGGGGGAATTAACTGGACGACGGATTCTGCGGGTGGTAGTGGAGGCGTGCAATTGACACAACACCTTTATATCGAAACACTGCGAAATTTTCTTGTTCTTAAACTGATGGTGGATTGTTCGATCGGGAACGTGTTGGCCGCGACAGATAAAGGTAAATACAAGGTATTCAACGTGTTTATGCAGAAGGATGGGTTCATGATGTCGTCCTGAGATTTGTCGGTGGAGTAGAGGTCCGATACTCCCTTTGGGCCGGTCCAAAACGATCGAGGAACGACACGAGGATTATCGCAACCGCGCGCGCCAGATCTCATCTCGAGAGCTGTGAGAGAAAAGAGGAGAATATGTCAGAGTTTGGTCGTGCATCCAAGGGTTGCGACATTGCGCAAGGGTGGAACACAAGGATCCGAGGGTGTTCTATGTGTAAACGAGTCGTAAATACGGAATATTCCGTCACGCTGGCCCGCCGAGGACAAAATTGGGGCAAACGGTTGCTCACCCTCTTCATGCACGAGGTCATAGCGAAGAATCTTGATAAGGCATGTGGTGCGCAATGTGTTGGACCGAGTGCAGGAGCGGCACCAGGGATGCGGGCCAGGTGAGCAGAGCGTGTACGCAGCGTGTCTGGCTGCCATACGCAGGACAAGGGGCCATCTCCTCGCGGTCAAAGTTGCTGGCCGGGAGCGAATGTTGGTGCCGGCATGACAAACTGGTGTGTCCCGCACTCTCGAGATTGTCACAGAAGAGGCAGTTGCGGGCGCGAACAGCGGAATACTCGCCGCAAGATGGCAAGTGGGGACAGCGATATGGGTCCGGGGCAGAACAACATGACCCATCCTGGAGCTTAACCTAATTCCCATCGCATGAACCTTGTACACCGCAGGCAGCCTGCTCGTCGTCGCCGCTGCCGCTGCCGTTGCCGTTGCCGGCCGGGCCAACGAGCGCCGCCAGGCGCATGCGGATGTCCTGGGCGAGCGAACGAGCGAACGAACGAACGAGCGAGCATCCGTGCCCGGCCCAGCCTCTCTATGTACACATCACCCTCTCCCCTCTCCTTCCCTTCCTGCCCCAGATACGGCCAGATCCATCGTCGTCACGAGCCTCTCCCACCCCCCGCCTCTGCCCAATCACGGCACCACCCGCACTCCCAACGTCTTCGCCGTGCCAATGATGGTGCTCGCGATCGCCTCCAGCCGCAGATGTTTGAGATGCTCATCGGTCGCCTTGATTTTCGCGATTTCGTACACGTGTTTTAAGCTCACTGTCCCAACCATCTCGTGTCCGGGGCGACCGGTGCCCTTCTCGATGCCGGCAGCTTTCTTCAGGAAGTAGGACGTCGGTGGCGTCTTGGTCACAAACGTGAACGACCGGTCGGGCTGGATGGTGATGAGCGTAGGGACTGGGACGCCTGGCTCGATGTGTGCAGTGCGGGCGTTGAACTCCTTGCAGAAATCCATCGACTTGACACCGCGTGCTCCGAGCGCAGGACCTATGGGAGGTGTGGGTGCGGCCTTGCCTGCGCCCACCAAAATTCGCTGCAACACGGTTAGGCTGCCGTAAACAAGGCATTTCTGAAACTGGACACACCACGACTTGTGCTCTCGCCTTGAGTGCGGCCTTGGACATGGTGGATCACAAAGCAGGGCGCCCAGCACACAATCCCTCTGCAGAGCGCGGCAGCATTTACGTAAACATCGCCTGCCTTTCCTGGCCGCTCTCTTCAACAGCGGAGATTGTGCACGATGCTCCCGTACCGGAGAAGCTGCACTCTGCGAATCGCACCAGATTCATATTGTTTTCTGCCGTAAACTTTTATTTCTCTCACATACACACTTCTTTCGTGGGTTCGCCCATGTGTCCGAGCATCCAAGCGCCCCAGTAATGGCAGACGAGCGCCGGCTGGTAGTAGCAGCAAGCATAAAAACATATTTCCAGTAGAAATACTATATATATTGAGGATATTCACAAAGAATTTGAATTGATAATGCTCTTAATATGCTCAGGAAATGATTGAAGGTATATCATCCAAAACTGCCAAAGAGGGCAAGCATTTGTGCTAATTTCTAGGGATTATTCATGATATTTCCAAAGGGCCCGTTACTAAATACCTGTAAGTACTCTCGAGGTGCACAAGCTGGCAGCGATCAAGTTGGTTTTACGGCGTCTATCCAAACTAAATCATCGCACGGAGTGTCGGTTTCATACATACGGGCCGAGGTTCGTATGCTTTGGTCAATCTCACTTGCTTTTATTGTTTCTGGCAGAGGTTCCATGGGAGCAGTGGTGAGTAACGTTTGTCCGGCTGCATGCTCTGCGAGTCGACCAGATTAATATTGTTTTCTGTCGTAAGCTCTTATTTCTCTCTCACGCACACTTCTTTCGTGGGTGCGCCCATGTGTCCGAGCCCCAGTGACTTATGACAGGCGACCTTCCAAGCGCCCCTACGGTACATGACAGGCGAGCGGCTGGCAACGTTGTAACGCTGGCAGTGTCCTTGCTCGCCTTCATCTCATCCCTCACCATGAGACTCGCTCTGCTGCACCTTGCCCTCGTAGCCATCACAGTCGTTGCTGCACAGAATGTGCAAGTGCCATTTGGTCGTCCCATGGACACGTATCCAGGTTTCGACCTGGATCTGAATGAGCTTCGATGGGTTATACTGGAAGGTCAACCTCCCGCGCTGATGACCGAACTCGAGAAGGTCCTCCTCGTCCGTCTATTCTATGCGGCTACCTTATCCCTTTCTAGATTGAGCTTAAAGCACAAGGAATCAAGTTTTTTGACGTGTTAGTCTGATCTTCGGCAGGTGGTTGATGTCTAAATATTTCTTATAGGACTGAGACTCCCGACCTTGGGAAGCTTTCTCATCTGAGAGCTGCCGCCAAACGTGCGCACACTGTTTATGCCTAATGTGAATTAGGTGCCTACTCTTGCTACGTTTAGCGACCTACCCGTCGCCCCATCAAGAGGAATTAGTGAAACCTGTACTGGAGACTCTGAATATTGAAAATCTCAAGAAAGGGCTTTCAACTTTCAGCAGCTTCCGTACCAGATGTGCGTTCCATGAGATGACGTTCCATATAAAACTCATTACATTGAATGCTAGATTATCGTAGTGATGTATATATTCCATCGCATGACGACATTGTAGTAATACTGACCCAATGATGATCCTCTACAGACGGGAAAGCAGAGTCAAGAGTGGCTTCTGTCTACCATTCAAAATGTACTAGCCTCCCCTGCTCGCCAATATTGATCGCTAATGACATCTTCAGATAACTTCTGTATATGCATCTCCGTCACTCAAAGAACTCATCACTATCCAGGAGTTTCCTCATACTTGGGCCCAAAGTACTGTGGTCAGTCTGCGCTTCCTCATTTTAAGCAAAAAAAATGGAGTATTAACTAATTTTGTCCTGCAGATTGCAAGAATCAACGGATCTTCATACACCGACGATGGCGTTGTTATTATCGGAGCTCACCTAGACAGGTTCTTACCCTCGTTTGTGTGCTCTGAAGTGGCATCAGAATCTGACATGACTGTATCCATTAAGTACCAATACATGGCCATTCCTGCCTGCACCCGGTATAGTGGTAGTCCGTCATCAGATCCCTAATATTTTCTCACCTATCCTATAGGCGCTGATGATGACGGCTCTGGTTCCATGAGTATTTTAGAATCCTACAGGGCTCTGCTGGCGGCCGATTTCCACCCTGAACGTGCCGTCGAATTCCACTGGTACTCTGCGGAGGTAAGTAATTTGCCGTTGGCCCGTAGCCTATTAACTCGGCGCTTTTTAGGAGCCAGGGTTGCTCGGATCCCAGGCGGTAGCTCAAGATTACGAACGACGTGGTGTGAACGTTATCGCCATGAGTCAGGTGTGGACTAGCGCGCAATTCTAAGTTCAATCATCGGCTCATTTTTCATAGTTTGATATGACAGCGTGGGTCAAAAAGGGAACTCGAGAAGAAGTTGGGATCATCGTAGACTACACTGATTCAGCGTACGGTGATATACACATTCAACGCGCTCTGTGGCTCATCACCTCTTCAGTCTCACGGACTTGAACAAGCAACTGGTGGAGACATATTTGACAATCCCATTTGTTGAGACCAAGTGTGGATACGCCTGCAGCGACCAGTGAGGCAAGATCTCATTTTTGGTCCTTCCGAATACTCATTCCGCTTTAGCGCCTCGTGGTCCAAGGCCGGCTATCCGTCCATCTTCACCATCGGTGCGGTTTCAATTCGTATCCGTCAGAAGAGCAAGTTCTGACAGGGTGCATCTTCTGCCGTTTTAGAAAGTTCCTTTGAGAACAACAACAATCACATTCATGGCACGAGCGAGTAAGTGCCATCGTTGTGCTGTGAAGTGGGCTACTAGATTAACTCGTGGATAGCCGCATCGATGTGTCGGACGAATTCAGCTTCTCCCACATGCTTGAGTTCTCCAAGTTGGCGGTTGGATTTGCTGTGGAACTAGGAGGTTGGGTAAAGACAAAGTAGCACTACTACCTACGTAGCATGTTGGGACTTGGAAATAATGGACAATCATTGTAAAATAGTTAGATTCAGCGAGATCATCTCTGAGCGGAATGTCTAGTTTATAACTCAGTGGGTGCCGTTGGCCCTCCAAATAGTCGCCGAGTGGCCTCCGTAAGCGATGACATCGGATCCGGATAGAACGGCGTGGACCACTGGCGCACAGCACACAGAGTGAAAACACTTCACCACGTTCTGGAGGATTTCGTCAGTAAATTTGCAATGAGAAGCAATTAAGACTACTCGCGTCCGGTCGTCTATAGTCCCACATGCAGACAACGCCTTGCTCGCCGTCTCCGTAGGGCCTGACGAAGAAGCTGTGACATGCTGACCCTCTCGTATACCGGGTCTTGCGCTGCGTGCTGGCATCGCGAAAACCAAATTCCAGACATGGTGCCCGATCGAAACCCCCTCGCCGCGTGTCAAATATTAGGATCTGGCGCTCCATGTGGTCTACCTGCACCACGGGCCGCTCAGTTGGATATTAAATACGCGTTGAGAACCCAGTGACCGACCTCGAGGATGACAATCCGAGGGTCTTGGGGATGTATATGAATCTGAAAAATAGCACCATCGGATACTCGCATCGGATCCGGAGCCTTGTACGTGTTGATATCTAGGACGGAAATGAATCGACCTGCACCAGAGAATACCGTCTGATCATGAGTACGGTAAGCTAGGGTATTAACAGGCTGAGAGTGCGTAATGCGGAGCTGGGTTGACCGTGCGCTGAAGTGGCCAGCAGATTGCTTCACAGTCCATAGACAGATGGTCTTGTCGTGACCTCCTGATAAAAAACGCATTTCAGAGCCTCGGATGGGCGCCAGAGCACTAACACCGGGGTTAGGATAAGCCAGACCTAACCTCTCTTGCACTCTGTTATGAGCTCTGTAGTCCAAATCAACACGGCGAGGGCCCTAGAAGCAGTTGGTGTATCTCCAAATTCATAATCTGTGGAATAATACCTGATCGCTACCCAATGCATCCAGTCGAATTATCGACACTTGGCACGGGCCGGAAGTGTGGCCCAGGACAGCTGTATTGTCCTCCAGAAGGCACGCATCAGCCACACGAGGAGGAGCAACTTGCTCTGAGCTATAGAACGGGAGTGAATATTTTTCTATTCTTTTCCTGATTCGCAGAAGGTCAGCTGCACCCACGAGGCAAGATGAAACCACTCGCAGATATTTTTGATCGATGAAACTAGCGTCCCCTCGCATTGCTATAGTTGTGAGCGGAATTGCCGTATCACAAGGTACTAACACCCTTCTTCCTCGAGCAAATCCAGTTTTTGGAATGTTGACCTCGTGTTTATCCATCGCGCTTGCCTCATACCTCGCCTGCAAGTTGTGGTTGTCGACCCTCTGCCGTGCATGCCTGTTTGAATGGCGCCTCGCCGATGAAGAGCTGGGCATTGGAAGCTCAGGGTCATCCGAAGAGCTGTGTTCGTGACTACTAGTACCGGAAGGAGTCGCTCTCGATCCTCGCTGTGCGTTTCTCATGGGATGTCGCCGCCGCCGCTTTTGCAGAAGTGGATGCACCCGAGTGGTGGCTGATCGTTTACTCGAAGGCTGACCATGAGCCGATGGATGTATAGATTCATCTGAAGAGCTAGAATCGCAGTCGTCAACTTGACCCAATCTGGACGATGGCAACGGATTTCGCAAGCTCTCTAAGCGACTTCTTGTACCTTCTCCAGGTATTTGCCTAGACAAATGTCCGCGTGTCTTGGCAGGATGCGCATCCGTTCCACATTGCACAACGGGCTCTCGACCACGGTCCTGGGAGTACTCATCGCGTAATTCAGGTTCCTCCTCATCAGACACCCCTTGGTCCGTGTCGCTGGACCTGAGCATCGCAAAATCACCATACAATGACTCTACAAACGGGGTGCCCCTCGGCGCTTCAGGTCTTGCTTTCCCAGCTGAAGTTGGTTCCGTCGAGTATTCTTTCACGGAGCTGGTCAGAGAACACCTAGAACCGCTGGCATGCGCCCCCCTCGAGGACTTCCGTCCCAGGGACTCAGCCGTTACAAACTGCGATCCCAGCAGGAGAACGTTGTCTGTGACCACACTATAGAAGAGTTTTAGGCATGCAAAAATGCTATCGCCGCAAGCGTTGTATGTTCACATACTAGGGATGTGTGTCTCGTTTAGGACTGACATGTAGACTGTTCGCGCCCGAATCTGTCAGACGCTCTGATGTTAAGTCGCGCGAATGCGGTCACGGCATGGCCTTACTCGACGACAGATGCAGCCCGCTGTCTTCCAGATGGGACTGTACAACTTGAGGGGGAGAGCCTCGAAGCGAATTCTCCCTAGGAAATAGGTTGAAATCTATGAGATGGGTGGGACCTACATCGGATTTGTCGTCTTGATTGTCGTCCGCATCCATATCAAGGCAAATGGGATTTGAGGCACACTTTCCTGACTCCATTATACCCATAGCAGCTTGTGGAACGACCTTTTCATCCTCATCGGATATTAGGTCGATGACAATGGGATCGTCGTTTGTGGAGTGCCGAATTCGCTGGGATGACTGGGAATTGCTCGGACGAGCAAGTACCGTGCGCAAGGCCGCAGAATCAATACCCTTACTGGTAGCGAGCGTGTAAATACTAATAGGCATGGTTGATATGACAGACATTTACATCGTGAGTAGCTCTTGTATGTCCTCGTCTTTTACTGAATAATCAAGTACCCTACACAGAGGGACGAAAATTGACGTAAGTACGGGTCCATTGATCATCATCCAACTGACCATTCAAAGACAATTCCATCATATCTGACCATCGTAGCGGATGAATCAATGAAACGGTAAGTATTATGGGTATGGCATCCAGCTTACAGCAATCTAGGAGCGTGCACCAAGCGCTTCCCTAGTCGTGCCAGATCTCGAGTCGTCTTTAGTATGACACCATTGATGGTCGTATTATCACGAGCATCCTCAGCGAGCTGTACCCATTCAGACCCACGAGTGGGTTGCTTGACGTTGCTGTTTCTGAAATAATTACTGGAAGACGGTGGGCTGCTCGCATTCTTGGATTTTGGCCTGTGAAAACTCAGTTTGATTCTTTTGGGAGAGAATGGCGTGGGCGTGCTGCGCCTTTTCACGGAACTCATGGAAATCGCTAGAACGGAAGAAAAGCGGTCCTGCATGTTTGAAACGCCATGGCACATTGTCATACACACACACGTGACTCTACATTTCAACTTTGAGACTTCAAGTCAAGACCTGACCGTGACAAGCTGATGAATGAATGCAAGGCAGTATGAATTGCCTTTTGTTTTCAAGATTGTGGCACTCGCTCAATTCAATAAAATTACGAATCTCATGTGCGCCCGCTGGGCCTGAGACGGCAAGTAAGCCGTCGAGAACATCTCGATCTCTCACGACCGGTGCGTCCGGTTGTCTTCAACCGACACAGCGCCGCTACACTCTCACTTGACTCTCATGGACCGAGCAACTCGCAAAGAGGACGTGCAGAAGGCGTATGAACTGCAGACCCGAGCCGGTGTTGCAGGTGCAGCACGATCTACGGCCGTCGGACTAGGGCTTGCTGTACTCGGACATTACACTTGGCCTGCATTCCGGTTAGTCCCACTATCGTCATGCCATGGAAGGGAAATGTCAAGCTTACATGCACTCAAAGACGGCAAACGCTGCCTTTTAAAGGATTCTTAGTCTCAGTTTGTCCGTCCGCATCTCACTCCTCAAGTGTCGGATCTCATCCGACGCTTTTCGTCTCGAAGTCACCATCTTTGGCCTGGTAATTGGCGCAGAGAATGCTCTGCTATCTCACGAAGCTGAGCGTCGACGAACTGAAACCGCGTTGCGGCAAGAAGCACGCATAGGCCTCGCGCGCCGAGGACTTGTTGCTACTGAAACGGAGATTGCTCGATGGAAAGCAGAAAAACTTACCGAGACGCACACACCACACACGATTCAGACCGATGATGAGATAGCAAGGAGCACAAAATAGATGTATATTGCAATGACAGATGCAATAACGTCATTTATCAAAAATTACTTATGATGTACGAGGGTGCGTCTATGCAAGACTGAATTGGAGTGTCTGTTTGTCCAAGATAACATTGTCAATGCCATGCACTTCGAACTCTCCTCTAGCGTACGGACGAGAAACCTCCGTAGGTAGGCTGACCGACAGCAGATGTCGTGTACTGAGGCTGGATACTAGGTTGCGTAGGAGGCCTAGGCAAAGGTCCAGGACTATGAAACATCTGGCTTTGGCTAGGCTGGAAAGTTGAAGCGGGTTCGTAATGCGTATGTGGTGGCATGGTGGGGGGTGGCGGCGGCGGCGGGAGAGTTTGGTATGTCGGTTGGGATTGGTAAGTTACGGTGGGAGGCGGTGGCAGACTTGGTCGCCTCGACAAATTTTGTTGTGGGGGAGGCAGAGAAGGCGAAGTATTCAGCGGCGGTGCTTGGCGATACTGTGTTGGCGGTGGGGGAATAGGCGATGATGAATTTGGGATAAAAGGCTGATTAGGTGGAGGATTAGTAGGCGGTGTGCTCTGGTGCGGCAATGGTGGAGGTGGAGGGATTGCATTGTACACGTCTGAGCCAGCTCCTTTGGGACTGTATGGCGACGGAGGTCCAGGAAGGTTGTAAGGCCCACCCGTGCTCTGCGGATATACACTTGGTTGATTCATGGGTGAACTGAACGATCCGGAAGGTGCTCGTAAGAGTGGCTGAGGACCGTTGTAGACGACAGGTGGGCCCGCTGGAGAATTACTATACGGCCCTGGCTGACCTCCCATCGGTGGGCTGAATGTCCCCGATGGACCCCGTGATGGCGGGTTATACATACCAAGGGGGCCACCTGAAGGAGGTACTGGTAGAGACGACTGTCGCCGACTCTGCTGTCCATATGATTGCGTCGGCTGCGGTAGCGGTCTGGAGCCTGAGGGTTGTCCAGAGGAAGAGTTTTCATTTAATGGTGGTGGAGGTGGTACATGCTCATGTGATGGTGATGGTGTCGATCCATGCGAAGAGTATTGTTCCGGAGGGGCTGAGTGCGACTGATGGGACACCGATTGTGATAGCGAAGGTGCATAGGGCTGTTGTTGTCCAGGCGGAGGGTAGGAGGACGTTGGGAACGATGAGGCCGGAGGAGGTTGTTGGGGCAAGGATGGCGGCTGCGCAGCACTATATGCCTGATAGACATAACTGGATGCTGGTTGCTGCGATTGAGGTAACGATTGATGGTACAGCACAGCCTGCTGAGGAGGAATGGCGAAGCCTGGTTGTTCGGTAGATGCACGAGATATGGTTTGAAAGCTCGACGACGGAGTTGGCACATGAGCCGGGGGAGGTCCATACCCGATCTGTCCTGGCGCTAAGATATTATTCGAACTAAATCCAGTCTGTTGAGAGGGATGCGACGAAAGCGGAACGAAGCCAGAGGGCGCAGGTGTTGGCATAGGCACAAATCCAGAAGATGTCGCCGGGATACTATGCCTCGGGCCTGCATGACGCCCATTAGGTTGATATCCGGAAGGAGGTGTTTGAGCATGCTCATAGTGAGGCTGATACTGTTCATGGACGCTGGGGGTCGAATGCTGTTGATACGATACAACACCTGTTGAGTCGGATCCATCATATGAATACGGCGCCCCTCCCTCAAAATACGTTTGTGTGGGCTGAGTGGAAGTCGCGCGAGAGTCCGGAGGACCAACTGTCGATGCAGGACGCGGAAGATATCCAGCGTGTTGAGGCTAATAGAGCATAAGTTCCATCAGCTAAAAAATACAAATGGGCTTACAGGAAAACTCTGTCTCCTAGTAGCATGATCTACTACACCCAACTCCGCAAAATCGTTCACCATGCTACTTACATCTGAACGACGCGACCGAGACGTTTCATAAGGCGGCACGTATAGGTCAAGCTGGGCGAGAGAGCTTGACGATCTCAAAGATGGAGGAATGTCCTCGCGACGGAGCTCATCTCTCATATTACCTGTAGACGGGAGACGGGAGATGGCCTGTTGAACGTCAATTCCATTGTGCGAGGGCGACTCTCCAGTAGGCACAAACGAGCCCGGCCCTCCATATTGTTTCTGAGTCTTTGGCTTGGGCGTAGCTTTCTTCAATGGCTCGGGTTCCTATCGTACACAACGTCAGTCAGTGCACAATCCGTCAGCACGTGTAGAACAAACATTTGACCAGAAAGTCAGTTCCAAGTATACTTCGCCACAGTATTTCTCTTTGTTCATCAGGGTGAACCATTCTGTTCAACGAACTAGTCAGCACTATCTTCATACATGCCGTAGAATGATTACCATCAGTTTCGCCCTTCGTCAAAACTTCATTTAGGTCAACAATAGCTTCCCCAATTAGGTCGGGTTCACGAGGATCCTCAGCATAGCAAGCAATCGCCATTGATCGTCCGCCTTGAATCCTAGGTGGACCCTTTCCACTACTCTTCGGAGGAGGTGGAGGAGGCGTCCCATCACCATGATTGGCAGTAGGCTCGGGATTGGGGTCTTCGAAAAGAGTGAAGCGAACTTCCTCGTCCCACTCTGGATGTTGACCGCCGCGTCGTATTGCTTTGGTCCTCTTCTTCTCCCCGTTCAGGACAATGGTACAGAAGGGATCTTGTTTGCCTATGTGTCGTTTATTAGGTAGATTCCTCTGGAGAGGAGTCGATTTGAGGGGATTTCCTGATGGACGAGGGGCCAAGGTACACACACCGCTTTTAGAATGACAACGACGAGCGTGCCGATTTCACGAGAGGTCACCATCGAAATTTAGCGTTGCGGGAGAGTGGTGTCGCTCCTTGCCAGCAGGGGTTTAAAATGGGTATGGTTGAAGTTGGCAGCCAAGCCCTAGTGGACTTACATATAAACGCGGGAGGCACAGCACGGTCCGTGATCGCAGTCCGTTTTTACATAAACTTGCGCCCAAGCGGCCAAGCCCTCAGACTGCTCAAGCCTGTGCACATGCCAGCATCGCCCTCTCGTCTAATCACTTGAAGGTATATTCAAGACTCGTCAGCATGCACGAGCATTGGTAACTGTTATCCCTCTCATTGCACCTAGCACTACCGATCGAGCATATGCAGTGCCAAATCAGGATATGCGCATGCAATGAGGCTACACAATGAATGCATCTCATTTGATCATGCATACGCAGACGTTGTGATTGTCGATGAAGAAGCAATGCCCAAGCACTCAACAACGAGCAATCGATCAAGAAGATATTTTCACTTGCTCTGCGTTGTCCGCACCGCACCGCACCGCGGACACTACAATCCTGGTACGTAAGGCTCGTTGTTAGTGAAAATAAGATGTGGTTTCCGGCTAGCAAGGTCGAGCAACATCTCCGCGAAATAGCTGTTTGCCCATGCAAACCAAGGTCGCGTATATGACCCATCATAGATGTCGATAGACTCGTGGATAAGCCCCAGCCCAGCGGTATTCTATGCGATCGGTCATTTCAAGTCATTCCTCCAAACGTAATTTACGCACGTTTGCGATCATATACAAATTCTCCATAATCTCACCATCGTCGTCTGTACCATAAATTGCGGATACGAGTGCCATAGGCCTGGACATTATTTAGTCTTTTGGTACACCACGTCACGTTCTTCGTCTCACCATGGGTTCCAAGCATCCTCATGGGGTCCTCTGGTTGAGGTCAATAAGGTTGTTCCGTGATCATACCAAAGGCTGGAACCTTACCCTATACCACTAAAGTTTTTGCCTACCACATAGTACGGGTTTCCTCGGGACATGAGTAATTGGCGTGTGGTAACATATGCAGGGTGATATTTGTCCAAGAAGCCAAGGTAGGGCAGCGAAAGAAGCGACTAGACTCATCATGTAGGTGCTTGTGTTCATCACTATCGGGCTAATATTACTCACTGGTACATTGGCATCGTCCATGACGTATCTCCCCCCGAAGCCTTACTAGGCTTTCAGATACTGGTCTAGATCTCGTTGGATAGGAAGCTCACCATTGGTCTCATAAGCGAATATATTGTTCACCAACTGCGGGTTAAACACTCAACACTCAGTATAGCATATCAATCAAATTCTGATGCCACGGACCGTATGATCCCAAATAGCATCTGTGATAATTTCACTATAGTTTCGAGCTAGTTGGCTGATGTTGCTCGCCTGGCCTGTTTCATCAAGGATCTCCGCTAAATTGTTGAGTTCCACGACCAGCATGGCATTACCGGAGGTCAAGAATGCTGTGGGGTATTTGATGAAGAACTGCTTACGCCTTGAAGCGAAAGTAGACTGACCGAAAGTGCTGAGGTCATCTGATGGCCTATGAGAAGTACCAACCAGTCCTGTGTATGCTTTGGGTTCGCCATTGCCACCGTTATTCACAGCCCCTGCGAGAGAACCTGCTTCACCAGTCCAGTTGTAGTATGATACCAAATTCCAGTCCTGATCGAAGGTTGCCTGTGATTGTTCCCATATGACACTAAAGATTTGATCAATAGCAGAATACCCTGCATCACTGCAAGTCTAGTGATTAAAACGATAAATGAGAGATTTGTGGCGTACAGTTGTCATTCATGAAGGAGGAATCGTTGGTCGCTTGATAATAGGACCTCGAAAGCTTCATGAATGAGCATAACGAATCAAGTTCCCACTGGGACAGGCAATCAGTGTCCGTGAGGACGAATGTTGAGACAGGCAGTACAAACGAACCTTGCATTCATACACTGTCTGATTGTCGACCGGCCTGTGCAAAATTACGAGGTGCACGTTGTGAGACAACTCGAACATACGGGTTCACAAGCACATCAATCGCCCAGTCATTTACTGATGGGCTAAGTCCGCTCTCCGGAGGAGGCTGAAACGCGCTGCAGTACGGGTATTGGGTGATATATCGAGCTTCGTTATTGATGATTGCCTTGATGAGAGTGGCGAGGTCAGGGTCAGCGGAGAGAATTGGGTAATATTGAGCGAGCTGGTATAAGTTCGGGAGGTGAGTGAACTAGAAAGCGAGGGCATTGTATAATGAGCGCTTCATACCTGGTTGCCGGTATCCCTAAGCCATTGCGCCCTTGCATGGATATCAATTATCAGGCCTTGATAACTAGTTAGGCTCAGTCACGCACGTAATGTCCTAATCTCTCTCGGTAAGAATTTAGACTCGATGACTATTATGTATTGACCACCCACCCCGGTAATGACGAATGCAATATTTTCGGTCTTGCAATTGCAATACGATTAGATTCTATAACCGGATCCACACATACGCTACGTACTGCGTCAAAGTATTTGATCGTCGTATCTGTATTCGTATGTATTAGTGATAAATTTGCGCATTCTGATTAAGTATGTTACCCAGTGTGTTCGGAAACGTATTCTCGAATAATCGGGCAAGATCAGGATCCTTCATGCGTGATGTCATGTTACTGATCACATCCTAGACATAGTTGAACACGTCTCATCCGGATATATGCTTCCAAGTTCTCTTACCTCGACTGCGGAGCTGTTGAATGTACGGCAGGCAGGCACTGGCCTCATGTATGGCAACGCTAGTGGCCCCGAAGACGGATCTCCTTGAGGAGTCTACGGAAAGTGGGAAGTATTTGAGTCAGAATTAGCCAAGAGCTTGTACATACCTGCGAATACGTGGTATAATCGGGGCATTGCGCCACGCTCACAGCGGCTCCCAACGCGACCGCCGCGCTGACTGTATGTCCGATACCGAGCTTCATCTGGCAAGCACTAAACACAGCACTAACGTCTCCTTGAGTGTCCTGGACAAGGTCGAGGGCAAAGGACCAAAAGCCTCCCACTATCCGATTGAGAGCCTTCATGTGATCTGAGAGACGCACCACAGCCCCATTTTAGTCTCCAGGATACCTACGGACCGGAGGAAGGGTACCCATGGCTATCTCTACTCTGCTCACGAGGTGACCAGCCGACGCAACCTGATCCGGCTGCAGAGAAGACTGGGTCCAGCTGACCAGTGGTGCATGTTGCTCAACGCTTCCGAGCGACCGCCACCGACGGACGTTCAAGGAAGTCACACTAGAGACGCGATCACATGACATGTGACATACGCGTAAATGACCATACCTTTTACTTACCCAATAATACCAGTATTTCCTCTCGGTCACCGTAGACCACTGGTATAGAATGTCGATGTTCATCAAGCAGAAATTATTCATGCTTACCGTATAAGTCTATGCTGCTAGAGGCAGCTGATTCCAAATCTGGATGAAAACCAATCGTTGCACCGACACCAAGCACAAATGGCGAGTTGAGAAAATATGCAAGGATAGTATCATAGATACGAGAGAAGGGAAGGCAGGATTAATAACGAATAGGAGTACACGCCGGACCGCACATATAGGTACAAAGGACACTCGGGACATTCGGAGAACAGAGACGAGACGAGCAGTACGACATATCCAAAGGTGTCGAGCAACTAGATCGCACGCCGCCGTAGGCGGCTACATAGTGACACATAAACCTAGCACACCAAGGGCACTAATAGTGGGCTAAGCTCAGCAAAGTACAATAGAAAGACTTAAGCAACGCACAATCAGTAAATGAGACCAGAACAATTACTGAGGTAACGGTGTCGTCGCTGGTGTGTGGAAAGTGTCCGTGTAATACTCGGTGGTAGCGATAGAATGAAAGTCAGAATGAGAATCGTGGTCCGTATCAGCACTATCTGAAACGCTGTCCACCTGCATCGTGTGGGGTAAACCGGGCATCGCTTCGGGCTCTTGAAGCGGTATAGGTCCTCCCTTGGGTGTAACAGTTGTACTCTTACTAGACTGTGAGGGCTCGATCGAGGGCACCTCCAAAAACTGTCCATCGTCGCTCTTCGGCACGTCTAGACGGCACGAAGTTGCAGGTGGTGTTCGCGCATCGTCCAAAGCGCCTGCTGCATCATGAGCATGTACTTGATCAAGTTCGCGGAGACCAGATTCGACGGAAGATGAGATCTCCTGAACACCATGATCGTCCTGACTTGTCTCGTCACCGCCACCTTCCGTCTCGTCTCCATTCCCCTCAGTGTCTTCTTCGTCATCCCCATGATCAACACTCTGTTCTCCGTGATCAACGCTGATACCACCCGTTCTGTAACTCCCAGTTGTCCAGAGACTCCGCTGGCCGCCATGGCTGATCGGCGAGTGAGAGGTAAAACCCGTTACGCCGGTCAATGCCACACTCGCGCTCGCACTCCATTTACTAGCCTGACTCTCCCAGCTACACCGTCTCGAACTTCGTGGGCGTAACGCGCGCACGCTAGCATCTACATCCTGTTCCTCTCGATACAAATCGCGTTCACCCTCCAACTCTTGGCGTTCATCATCCATGTCGCCCAACACAAAGTGGCTCGTAGAATCCCCTTGACCTCCGCCGTGGCTTAAGTGTGACAGAGAGTCATCTGCGAGAGAACCATGTCCAGAGAGCGCAAGCGCGGCCATGCCAATACGTGCACCGGGCATACCAAACGCAGAGGACGCAAGTGTCAACACCGACGCATCATCTTGCGGAGGAGACGACGGACGCGGATTGTTTCGCGGATGGTGTGACGTATGTTGTGGTGCCTGAAGAGTATAGGAATGCGAAGCTGCACGAAGAGATGTGTTGATTGAATTGCCGGACGAAGGGCGCGAAGGGATGGTGGGTGATGGGATAGCCGAGAACATAATAGATCCACCAGATCCGGGACCAGAAGAATGCGTACGGGCATGAGGTTGGAAGCGATGGTTCAGGTTGGTGGGGGTAGGGGGTGCTTGAGCAATATGACCCACACCTCCGGTCAGATCTACACTCAAGAGGGTCGTGGGCTTTGTGCTCGCCGTCATGCTTCGGAATGTCCGTGGATCGGAAAGGTATGAGGAAGACGAATGCGAGGGAGAGGGGGAAGGAGGAGAGCTAGGAGGAAGAGGCCGCACAGATGCGTCTTCATCCGCTTCATAGTGACTCGTGGGGGACCACAAGGAATCCCTGGCCAGAGAAGAGCGCCTACCGTCGTCCGAATCGGTAACTGTATCTATGGTGCTCTCAACACCGCTCTCTCCATCTAGAGATAGTGGTTTTCGCGGAGCGGTTGAGGGGACTGTCGATAATTTACGAGCATGTTTAGGCTCCGTTTTGCTTCGGGCCCTTGTCGATATGGGTGGCGGCATCGGGGCAGACGCCCTGCGCTGTGGTTTCTCCTGCAAGCTTGGTGGGCGTGCACTAATCCTCTGGATTCGCGGGCTCTCGGGCTCAGATACCCTTCTGGCACGGACTGTGCCCGCCAGCTTGCGCTGGAACCAATTGATGATAGGCTTGCTAGAGCGACGCGCAACCTTCTTCGTGGGTGGCTGAGCTTTCTCCTCAGCGACGGAAGCCTGTTGTATAGCTTCTTTCTTGGATTTAACGGCCTGAGCGGTAAGTTGTTGAGCCTGTTTCTTTGACATCTGAGTCTTCGCGTCGGAAATCGGCTCAGATTTGACGTTGGTTGGGTGAGGATGAAGAGGAGTCGGCATGTCTGATGAGCGTTGCAATAATTAGGGAGACAAGAAAGTAGATGAAGGAAGAAAGTGGAAGAAATATAAAGAAAAGAATGTTTTGTGGGCGTTGCCAACAATTGAAATTGCCGTGTGGTGAGAAGAAGGTGAGAGGAATGATCTGAGTTGGCCTGCCCGTTCCCGTTCGGCTGCCGGCGCCTGTGACCACTGACTCGAATAGGCCCAGAGTGTCCATGTGCAAGAGTGAGGCCCATCTGTGTTTTGTTTCTGTCATATTTTACAAGTTGAACGCTTCAAAAATTCGCAGTTGCATGCACTAGACGAAACTCGTAATGTTCCTGAATACCGTTCGCCACCTTGGTCGCGCAACCACAGTGGCAGAGGAAAGCATCTCATGAAGGACTACCGCACTTGCCAAATTCGGCCCCGCGAGATGCATGCCGCGCCGAGGCTGCATTTGTAGATCCTCCACTCATCGCTCATGACTATGTGGTCTCTACCTCGTTCCTGTCGTTCAACCTCCGGGAGATTCAACGCACCGCCATGGTCTTCCTACCTGTGCTCTCGTCATAACTTTCGCTCACGTATGGTCCGTACGTCGTCGACCATCTCTGATCCTTTCACAAGCCCTGCTACCGTCTCCACCATCAAACTCGCTCACCCGAGAGACCCAGCCAACCAGCCTGGAGCTGTTCCCAGTAGTAGTGGCTCCAATTCCACCCTAAATCCGTCTGCATCAGACTCAACTCCACTGCCCTTACCGAGCAATGTTGACCTGGGCCCGAGCACGAATGTACCCGTACCTGCGCCGCCGCCGCCTTTGCGCCCGCCGCACTCCCGGCTACCATCACCACATGAACCGCAGAACTTGACTCTTTCAGCAGCATACAGTAATCCACCTTTTCATACACACCACTTCTTCGTCGCTCTCGAGAAGACATTCCCTACACCGACTGCTCGGAGTTTAATGCGAGCTATACGTGCTCTGCTTGTCGACCGGTTGGGTCGCGTCAAGCGAGATGCGCTGACTGTGAAAGACCTCGAGAGCGTATGTTCCTCCATAGTTGTATATATCTCATGTGAGCTTCAATCATTCACAGCAAGCATACCTTTTCAAAGCGGCTCTCTCCGAGTTGCGAACAGAATCCACGATGCTCACCCGAAATGAAGCTGCCGCAATGCGAACTGCAACGGCAGCGTCACGACGGGAGGTGGATATCTTGAGCGTGCGTATGAAGGAGGACCTGGGTGCCCTGAAGCACGAGTAAGTGCACTCACTCGTCCAGAAGAAAGCTGACGCTTCAATGCACATCTTGATAGCATCCAAATGGAACTAGACAGTAGGAAGAACGAGTCGAAGAACGATTTGAAACGATTCGACATTCAAGTGGAGGTAGGTTCCACTTGCCTCGCAGGTGGTGGCTGGGATACATAACGCCTGATACGAGTCACTGTAGGAAGTTCTCAATAAGTCTTTAGTCACTCTCTACGATCTCCGTACTGAGATGGAGAAAGTCCGCTGGGATAACATGCGCAACTCAGTTGGTAAGCAGAGATTCGATTATTGCGCGATGCATTCGAATGTCTCATTCACTCTGTTATATAACGTCCTTTCCAGCCGCTTTGGGTGCCTTTTTGCTCCTGATCGTTGTGTCAATGGAGCTCCTGACGTCCCGTGAGGCACCACGGAAAGTCAAGTCGAATCCTCCGCCTAGCCCGCCTCCGCCAGTGCTTGATATTCGGCCAATGGAGGGGACAGAAAGTCAACACAGTACATGGACAACATAACTTCTCGGAGCATCTAGTTTCACTCTTTGCGTAAGTCCCTCGCAAGCGGATGGGACTACCGTCGATATCGACGCACTACAGGCTTATTGTAAAGCAGTTGCTTAGAGATATTTAGACACGGACTTGAGATAGCATATGGGATAGAGCAAAGGTGACAGGTTACAATCCTCGTTCCCCGCTATATTGCAACACACTCCTTGCTACTCCGCATACATACACTATGATTACAGGTATCCGCTTTAATCCAACAACCATGACCCGCGTGCGGTGCACGGCGATGCGTACATCTAATCTGCTCAGTTCCATCACACCTCGAGTTTATCCAGCTTTTCTGAGAGCTCTTCAGCTGTGGTGGTCGCCTTCTGTCTAACTGCCACAC